TATCACCCATGACATCCTTGATTATAGTGAACTGGATCATGCAACAAACAGTGAGGAACGAGAATAGGGGAATACGTTGCAGGAGGGAAAAGATCCCAGAAGATTTATATTTCGCTAATGATGACTTGTGTCTAGTATCGCACAAACTCGAAGATCCACAGGCAAAATCCGACAAGTTGACAGAAGAGTCAAGGCAGCGAAGACAGGACTCTCTTCAGGTGAATGTAGAGAAGACGGAGGTGACGATGATACCCAACCAACGCCACCACAAACAACCACAACAACAGGCTCCAATCATCATCAATGAGACTCCAGTCGGTATAGATGGCTGAAGAGAAACAGCACGATACTGAGGAAATGCCCCTTGATTTATCTCAAAAGTAAAAGTGGACAGTATATGTCTAGCTAATCGGGAAGAGTTAGTAGTAGTAGTAGTGCAGGTATATCAACAAGACAGATGGTGAGTGGTGAACAAAAAGGAGGCATAGTGAGGTAAGTAAAGCCCTGAGTACTGAGTAGCAGTGATTGCATCGCGCTATAGAGCATTCCGAGAAGGACATACTCTCAACTCACTGATGTACTGTCCTGGAGGAATCTTCTTGCGATGACTCCCATGTTGCAGATAACGTTAACCTCCTTGTGTGAATTGCTTGATGGATTATCTTGTAGACCATAATTATAGTCACCTCTGTTTCTGTGATGGCCAAAAGTGAAAAGGTGTAGGTGTTTCAGTCTGTCAGAGTATGTCGTCCTTTTTTTCAAGGAGACTGAAGTCTCTGTTGATTGTTGATGGAGCTGTCGTGCTGAAAACTGACAAATACGATAGTACTTATGATGTGAAACCTGTGGGAAACAGTTCACAGTTGAGACTAGAAAGTTTAAAGTGCTGTTCATTCTGAATATCATTCCTTTGTAGTTACATCTAGTGCTTTCAAAGTGTCCGAGAAATTGTACTTCAAATCTTGTTACGTGAATACTTTGACTATAGTACAGTTGCTTACCTTGTATTCTAATTAAACCATCTTTGCTTCATACATAATGATATGCATCACTTTCCACTTTTTTCAGGTCAAAGTTTAAATCGTTTTCCAAATATTAGAGTTTTACCAGCTGTTGTACAGTTGGCCTCTTTGTTAATCCCCCCTTCTAAATTCTTTTGACAGAATATGGAGTAGTGCTGTCAAGACATTTTCAATATCGTTTCATGAAAAATAGGTGAGAAGACAGGGAGTCTGCATTACTCTGGAGAGTGCTTGAAGAGGTTTCAAACTGATCTTGTGAGTGCCTTGGCACAGTTCTCTGAGATTACCAGTCTCAGATTGTTGCAGCGAGGGGATTTACCTAGAGGAATGCGTGATAGCTATTTCGATTCCTTTTTCGATGCGATTGCGGAGAGAAACAAGTATTTCATATGTATAATTAGATCATTAATGTTAGAAGTACTAAGCTGAGCTTCAAAGAGTGAGGTGAGGACCTCAGCTATCTCCAAACTACTTACTACATCTACATTGAAACCTGTGATACGGAATAACTCATTTTCTTATCATCTTCCTACTCGATATGAAGCAGTTCAAATTTTGGTAGTTACTTTGTAACATCTTCGTCAGATTCATTTCACAGCTAAGCATGTTACTATGGACTCATATGTTCCAATGGTTGCAAATTCTTTTGCAGTTCAAGAAGCCAGATTCCCCGGGTAATGAACACCAGTTGAACCAAGCCTTCACTTTACACTGAAGTCGGCTCTTTCACCCGCTCTATCCATAAGGTGCTTACTGACAGCCGATGTATTATCTCCAGAACATTATGACTGATGCATGCAAAGATTATTCTATTAACCAGCGTCCAACTTTATTCTCTTATCAAATTCTCATTCCACCTTAAATATCCACCCAGTATCAATAATACGAGTCTGATACCATCAAACTGATCATTTCATAAAAGCATTCGAGTTTATCTCTGCTCACCACGTTAACTCAGGGTAATTACCCTCATAATCCCAAGTAGATTGTACGTTTATCTCAGATCGTAACTATGATTAGGGAAACGAGTAATCAACTATCCAGATTATATCATACAATTGCCTTGCTTGGCACTGCCTGTTCACCTCATCTCAACTTTCACCTTCATGATCTTTATATTCGTCGATAGACTGAGACCAATCTCAATAAGTCTTCTTAACCCGACCACCAGACCCATGCTGTCAATCTGTAATCTCTCCTCACTTTCAACTTCGTTCCAACCATAGGTCACGGCATCTTACTTCAACTGATATAAACTTCATCCTCAACCAGATCGATAGTTAAATAATGCTAAAATCATACTGAATGTCATGGGAATTCACTTCTTCAACCGTTAAATATCCAACTTGTAACCTTCACAAATTAAACAGCTTTACACAGTACTTCTTACAAAAATATTTTCAGATGCATAAATTGACTACTTGTTAGTAGGCAAAGTTAATATGCAAAAGTTTCTCGAACTATTCGACAATGATCACAGATATGCTGATTTCATCGGTCAGTCATCACAGATAACTTGACTTAATAAATACTAAATAGGCATTTCATCTATCAGCAGAAAATTTTTACTAGAAACCAACTCATTTCAGCTGGTTCAACTTCTTAACAATAGGAAGTAGTCAGTGCTTTTTCACTTACACAACATTTCGTGTTGTTAAACTGGATGTAGCTGCAAATCAGTTTATAAGTTTCATAATTTCAGCACACAGTTACTATGTCCGTGTGTTGAACTCATTTCTCTATAGTTGTCATTAGAAAAACTTATTCATTATAGCCCCTAATACATTTTTCTTCACTTCTTTCGTTATCCAATCGAATTACAACTGAATATCAAGTTGATAGTCAAATGATTGACAATCTCGTTTACATGATTACTGAGAAGCAGTTAATATCCAGGAATGTCAGTATGTCATAACAATGCATAGTGCACCACAATAACACATCGATTAGCTTCATGAACACATTGACAAAATTTCATCGATAAACTTCAATGACACTTGAATAGATACAAACATCTAGATAGATAAAAGGGGTTAATCACTGAAGAGAAATTGTTCTCTGAATAGATCATGTTGAAAGCCACTATCGATAGTATGTAAGCATTGGCCTATGGTCACTTCTTCACTAATTACATCAACTTCCATCAGATTATAGCATATAGTGTTCCAAACACTGAATAAGAAATTCTTCTCTGTCAACCTGCACACCAACTTGTCTAGTTAATGGTTGGTTTCGGAGTTGTCAATTTACGCCACATCAATGTATCCCTACAAATTGACTTGTTTATCTATTGGCTGTATAAATCACCTACTTTCCAACCTCATGCTGTATATACGTATCGACGGGGGACAATCTAAGTCAATCAACACTTCAAGAACTTAAAAATGTTGGTCAATTCTGGACGTATAGTACTCCACCACAGTTTTCTCCTTCAGTATCATTTAAAGAGTTATATAAGGAGTACCACAGCTCACGATACTGAACGATGATTGGCTGGCTCATTTTATGATATGATATTTTGTTTCCTGGGGCAAAAGCCATCTAACGATATACAAACCATTGATTTTTCAACCACAAAGATTGGGTTGAAATGAACTTACTTCAGATTCCATCGTCTTCTTCTTCTGCTACTTTCAGCTGATTATCGAGTTGAGAAGTGATCGTTCTATTGTAAATCACATCGCTTCACGTCGTAGCATTGTATCATGATATATATAAAAGTGGCAACGGGGATCGAATCACATACGGACTCTTCAACGTTCGATAAATTTCTCGAACAATAAATGAAGATTATCGATTTACTAAGTCAGTGTAGAATCATCGAATCCTACGTCTCTTAGTTATATCAGCCCACTTCAGTCATTAGGATTCCAGTAACAAAGTGACTTCCGATACCCAGGTGACCCAAATGAAGTCTATATACGATTTCATCACTGAGACATGTAAGGACTATGAACTAGGTTTCCAAACATAAAGCATCCCTTCACAATATATAAGGAGTTTCAAAGATGATGCAGATGTAGAAGATCATCCCATCAATGTTTCTTTCGCTCATCCGGTGACAACAAACTTCATTGTACGCTGTAATCTTTTGTTCTTACGCGGTGATGACTACAGTTAAGTCATAACTTTCTCATCATCAATTGTAGGATAGTCAGTAATGAGATAAGATAACGTGTATTTTGGACCAATCGTTTTAGATACATCGAAACTGAATATCAAATTTATATCCCAGTTACATTAGAGTTCATCGTTGAAGATGATTTATATAGAGTGGAACGGGACACTAGACTTATAGTCCATGGTTAGCGTAAATTTGTGTCCATAGACTAGATTATGGAAACAAAACAGAAGACGAAAATAATCACCAAGGCTTCCTTTTCAATTTCATTATATTTCTGCGTTCTTTGATACACAGTATTCGACAAGCATACATGATGACTTAATGGATATGTAAATCAATTAACACTTCAACTGCTGAACATTCAATCAACTCTGGACCACAGTTCTCTCCTTCATTATCATTTATACAGAATCAAAAGGAGTATACTTTCATCGTTCAACACAATGATAGATACACTGATAATTCACCACTTCTCAAGCTTCATCTCTACAAGTTCTCCTTCAACTTCATTACACATTTAGTTAGTTTACTGATATTATCGCCTCGACTATGTTACTTCACCGTTGTTGTTATTCATTGTAAACAGATATCAATTGGAGGAACAAAGGTAACCTAGGAACACTGGACAGTTGTTTCGTCCTAATATGGGACCACTGAGTAGTGAACACCCACGAACCCCACCGTGAAGCTAACAAAAGTTATAAATATGAACCATTGGATTCTAATCCATTGGCTTAATGGTAAACTGCTGACTATGAAAACTGAAGGTGAAGGTTTCGATCCCTGGCGACGTCGTAGGTATGCGCACTGGTGAACAGTCCCCAAAAAACTAGCTGGATTAAAAAAAACACCTTGTCCAGTGTTATCAGGTTTTCTTTTATCCTTTCAACTGATTATTAGTTTATAAAGAATAACAACTTGAAATATTTCTAAATCTCTACAACTCTCTCTCTCTCTCTCTGAAAATTTAATTCATACTATACAAAATTTATTAATTAGAAACAAAGTATTGAAAATTGAACTATATCATTACTTATTGAATGAAATGACATCACCAGAATGCGCACCTATTATACAGAAAAGAAAAAAAGAAGCAGGAAGAGATATGTATAAGTTATAGACTTTAACAAGTAGATGTGGATAATGTTGATATGATTCAATCTTTGATATGCAGTGAAGTGAACATCATAGACTGTTAACAAAACATCAGGGATGTTTTTTCATTGATCCTCTCCACTAAACAAATCATTATCAACATAGGACCAGATATTACTACTGCGTAACGGTCCGAGTTGCCACCACACCTCATATCAGCACATCAAGTTAAAAGGTAGTGAGGTGAAAGATGAAGATAAGTGAATGCAGTCAAAAGAAATATAAAGTATGAGAAGAAAGAGAAGAGGAGTGACAAAATGGTGAGATTCGGTATAGCGTTGTTAAGATGAGGATAATGTGTGTGGGTGTACATCTGCACCACTGACTTCGCTTCTGAACCATATCACCTAGAATCAGTCTCCAACCACTGTTGGTTCCTCTTGTCCTGTGGACCCCAACCACCTAGTCTGCATCGTCCTACATGGCTCAAACCAACAGTCAGAGACTTCATACATTGGTGCCATGTTTTAGTCTGGCCACCTCGGACTTTTTGTCTAACCACTACCCAACAAACCTTTCTGGTATGGTAGGACATCGAGGGAACAAGTGTTCCACCAGCATAGCTCGTTGGGTCATTGTGATATGCAAGCCCGACCACCACGTCAAGGTAGCAGCTATCGGTCGGGCCACTAAACAAACCTTCAAGGTAGATAGAATTTCAATATTCTAAAGTTGATTAGGAAAAAACTTATATCACAGGTTAAAGGAGGACTTTTTCTCATCATCGCTTCGATTGTTCCCCCATAGTGAAGGTAACTTCAAGGTGGACATTACTAGTCGTTTAACCGGAACACATATAAAATTTCTCTTGGAATCTCATTAGAGTGTAGCACTGGTAACTGTTACAGACCTTTCAGCTAGGATAGCTGTGAAATTTCGGACACTATCACGTCAAAGTGGCAATTATCTGTAGGGAATGAGCTTGTCAACATCACAATGACTCATACATGGATGAAGAATGTGATCGTCACACATAACGAAAACACAAATGCGGTACACAACTTAGTATAGTAAGGCGATGACCCGTTCATGCACATACACACACATTCACATCCATGTCGGTTATTAACACTACGCCACTAGGCTATCCACACCTCAACAGATCAAACAAGGTTCGAATCCGTAACTAACCGAATGAAAGTCATTAGACAAGACAAATTTTTCTTCCAAATGTTTCAGGTTTTTACATTTTCGTTATAACAATAGTAAACACAAACAACAACACCATCGAACATATCATAGAACGTCTTTTGTATACGTCACATACACTTGGCTACACAACCTGTAACCAGTTACGAAACTCGACGATAACTCTGCGTACAACTGTACAATAAGATGAGATAAATAAGAAAGTCTCAAGAATTATAGCACTTCAGTGTAAGAAGATATATTTCTTTATCGACTGACTGACTGACATAATCAACTTAGAGCCTCGTACACATAACTGCAACAGGTCAAATTGCGACACTTCACAAGAGAGATGCATCGAAGCAGACCGATAAGAGAGAAGATCAAGTTGTTTGAGTGAGAGTATAAACAATTTGAAGATGTCGAGGAGTCAATATATCAGTGGCATTATGACACAATTTCCATTGTCTTGGAGTGCCATAGACAAGTAGTCTCCTCAGACATGACTCTGACAAACAGTCAAGAACTTCATGAATCGGCTGGTGCAACGTCTTGGTCTAACCACCCTATACGCTTTCCCAACCTAATCAGTATGTAGAACATATGTCTCAACTACCTCAGTCAATAAAGATTGACAATTTCATCAGTCTACACGCCTTCCTTCGCCTATTATCCTCCTTCACCTGACTTCAACATTCCTCAAATGATGATTCCACCAGATCAATCCTATGAAAACATACACATACACAGCAGCTGAATAAAATAATAGTTACTTAACATCAAATTAGGCGGCACAGATGAGGATGTCATAGCAACGATCAGAAAGACAGTAAGACAAGCCTTCCACTGCACTCAGCATATAGCGTGAACAAGATCTAGATTTTCAACACTAATTCAGTCAAGTCAGTGCTTCTATGTGATGATTGAGAGGCTTGGCGCGTTACATACAACATAGGTAGCTGCTGGCTGCGCCCATTCGATACTGAAGATCAGATGACCAGAAAGAATAAGCAACAAGGTACTCACTCTGGTTAGTAACGTACCAACCAACAACCTATCTATCGCCCAACAAATATGCACAAAAGAAATTAGAGATGGATTGAATTGGACCTAGACTGAGGAGACCGTTCACGGACATCACGTATCAGGTCATCGAGTGGAATCCAAATAAGGAATGACAAGTTAGGCGTTCGAAGGTGACATGCAGGAGGAGATGGTGTGTGGAAGAAATCAAAGTTTATGGACAGTCGTGGTACCAGGTTGAAAAGGAAGACTATAGAGAATAGAGTGAAATAGTGACGTGCCTACTGATGCCCTACTTTGCATTAGGAACCCAAGGGATAAATTCTAATAGTAATAACAGCAAGGTAGATAGTTAACAATCTTACCAGCCTATATACATTTGGCATAGATTTTGATTTGAAGTAGCTTCACGTATTAAAAAATCAACTTGATCCGATATACTCATCAGTTGATCTCTTTCTGTACCGGTTAATTTTTGACGTATCCTTTCCATAACTGAACGTGCACGTACATTTCCCAAAGTAACAGGTTGACCTATACAAAAACACCAACAATAAAGAATATGATAGACGGTGGATTCAAAGTTTCCATACAAACGCTATTACTCCCTCCCTACCATACTGCTGGTATATCCAGTTGATGAGTCCTAGGTAGGGACGAAACCAAAGTCTCTTCAATACTTCATCAACAGCTTTGATGATCACCTCCTGTCTCAGTAGACATTCATATCACATTTGAATACACCTCACTTTGTTGAATAATTAGTCTTGATGATCTTCTTAACAAATCTAGTCATAACAACATAACATCCAGGAGAAAATATTCAACAGAGCTAAGAAGATCACAGAACCACCATCATTGAGAGCAACAATCTTATATACAAATGTGAAAGACAAGAAAATCAATTATCCAAAGTGAAAACCTACATTCTATGTCGATGGATGAATCTTCATTGCTTGAAGGTTTAGCAGAAAATATAAAGCCTTGTAATCCTGTAAAGAAAAGAGGAGAAGAAGAAGAGATATAACACGGAATTACTAGACTAGACTATGTTGTGCTTCAGTATTGTCCTTTGTCCCTCCTCTCCCTCACACCCACAGATCTTTATTATGTGTGAGGGTGTCTGATACTACTTGGCTGCTCAAAGCCCCGGGGGTTCGAACTCATGACACGGTAAACTAATGCACCCTAGTTACTGCATGATACAATCTAGTTCATTTAGCTTAGGTCACCGTTTCAAATCGTTTACCAACCATATCTTACAGTTATATAACAGGACAAATCGAACTTCTACACATCAATTCACTTCTCCTTTGATAGAACATTAGAATATCTTATCCTTTTATAAAACAGAACATGATGTTAGATGGTAATTGGCTTCTATAGGCTAAAACATTATAAATATAGTCAATAAGTTCCATCCATCGGTGTCCCCATTGAGATATGAGACACAGTGATCATCGATTTAGATGTCCAAATTATTATCTTGTAGAAGATCACTGGCGAAGGGGGGGGGGGGTACAAATGTACACTCAACTCATAAATGACTTTCAAACAGGACGTAAAGCGTAACCTTAATTCCACCGTCAACTCTTGAGTCAACCCTACAACATAATGAATCCTCAGAGAGTATCGATTCATTCGCAAACCGGGCAAAAAAACATCGGATCAATTCGATAAAGTAGAACACCCAAAAACTCACCGACACGTTCAACAATTATATGACCAGTTTCTGTTTGTTTTCTTAAACGTTTAGCTAGAAATGTAACAGGAAATAATGATAAAACAATAATCAGTATACAAATTAGACCTTGGTAACCAGGTTGACTATGCAGCACAAAGAACAAAACATGCAATAAACCATGTTTAATATATGTGAAAGCTAATGATACAATTGCTTAACCTAACTGCTCAAACCTTAGTAGATGGGACAGGAATCGAACCCAGTGACCGGTGAAATAATATCAGAACAAAACTAATGGGAAGCTCAGTGATGCCTTTGAAGTGAAAATAGAAGTAAGACAAGGCTACTATTACCCATGATCTTCCTCATTGTGGTCGACTGCAAAGGATCATGCAAGAAACTGTGAGGAGCGAGAAAATGACCGATGAAAATACCCTGGTGAAGATATGGATTTCCCTGATGAAGATTTATGTGTAATGTCGCACAAACTCCAAGACCTACAGGGCAAATAAATAACAAGATAACAAAAGACGCGAAGCAGCGAAGGCGGAACACCGTTCAGGTGAACGTAGAGAAGACAAAGGTGATGATGATACCCAACCAACAATAAAAAGCTCCAATCACCATCAACGGGAGAAACCTAAAGGAAGCAGTCTCTTTCACCTATCTAGGCAACATCATTTCAATTACAGGCGACGGCAAAGGTACAGAAAAGCAAGACATTCCTTCATTAACCTGAAACCAGTGTCGACATCTTCTGCACTCAGCATAAAGCGTGAACAATATCCGGATTGTAAACACCAATCCAGTCAAGTCACTAATTCTATGTGATGGTTGAGAGACTTGGCGCATTACGAAAGGCATTTCCAACAAACTACAGACATTCATCAACAATTGCCTACGCTAGCTCGACACTGAAGCTCAGAAAGCCAGAAAGAATAAGCAACAATGGACTCACTCTGGCTGGTGACGAACCGACCAAGAACCTATCGCTTAACAAATATATCTAACGATAATTGTAGAAGCGATTAGTTCCTCGTTGAAAGCACCGATTGTTATTTTTGGTAGTTCACTTTAACGCTGACATATGAGTGCTTTAAATAACGAGTGACGGCTGTGTAATTATCCACTCCAGAAGCAGCAGCAGCAGCAGCAGAAGTCTTAAATCTACCCTATTTAGCTATAACAACTGATAACAATATTGTTTATGGGTATCCCTGGATGAAGTTTGTGGATACCATGCACATTCTTGCTTTACGAATAAAGACGTCATACACGTAAGATTAACACCCGCAGACTTCATCAACTAGTGCGAAGTCATCGTCTGGTAGTCTTAACCACTCTTTTAAACTAGTATAACTTCTTTAAGATACCACATCGAAGTAGATGGTGCTAGCTTGGTGTGTGGTAACCCACATCAATACAATATCAGTCGACTAAAGCTCAAAATCTTGTCAATCAACTTGTCCATCATGCCTAGTGAACTTCGTCTGACTTTAACATTGCTCACACGTTGATTTCACTTTAAGCAGCTAAATCTCATAGTTGTATAGGAAGATAGCTTATATAACATACCTTATGATAAACAGTCAACCTGAACTCCACTTTAGAGAACATCGAACATCGCTTCAATCGATTAAACGATGAAGGAATGTATGCAGAAAACATTTACAAAGCACACATATATAAAATGTCAAACATTGTAAATTCTATTTACTTCCTTTACTTGACTGCTCCTCTCATAACACAGGTAGATACCAGTTGTATTTCCTATAGAACATATATCATATATACTCATCATCATAGAATAGAGAGTATAGAATGGCAGTCAACATTCTACCTCAACTTCATCGACTTTCAAAACGTCTATGGACAGCGTCAATCGAGAAGTAATTTGGCAGTTGCTCAAACACTAGGGAATACCAAAAAGCTTTATCGATCTCATTCAACAGCTAAGCCACATGCCAAGTGATTCACAATGGGAAGCTCAGTGATACCTATGAAATAATGATAGGAGTAAGATAATGTTGCCACCTACTATCATTGAACATCTTCCTAACTGTGGTAGACACGACTCGATTCGACTGGATCATGCAACAAACATCTATGAGGAGCGAAAAGATAAGCGTAGGCTTGCTGGACCGATGAAAAGATCCTAGAAGATTTAGATTTCGCCAGCGATGACTCATGTCTTAATGTCTTATATGGCATAGACTTGAAGATCTACAAGAAAAAACCAACAAGTTGGCAGGACAAGCAGGCCAGCGAAGATGGAACTTTCTTCAAGTGAACGTAGAGAAGACAGAAGTGAAGAAGATACCTAACCACCACCTCCAACAATAACAAGCACAAATGTCTATCTAAAGAAAGTTGTCTCTTTCACCTACCTACCTGACTACCTAGACAGCAATTTTTCAACTACACGCAGCACAGATACAGATGGGGATGTCATAGCCAGAATGCGGCAAACAGCAAGACATGTCTTCATCATCAATCTGAAATCACTGTGGAGATCTACTACAAGTCAATGCTTCCATACAATTCAGAGAGTTGGCGCGTTACGAAAAGCACTTCCAAAAAACTATAGACATACATCATCAACAGCTGCTTATGCTCAATACTAAAGAGCAGATCAGATGACCAGAAAGAATAAGCTAAGAGGAACTCACTCTGGCTGGCATCGAACCAACCAAGAAGCTGTCGTCCAACAAATCTGTAGAAGGAAATGAAGATGGTTTGGGCATACACTGAGAAGATAGTTTTTGGACATTTAACACCAGGTGAGGCCATCGAGTAGAACCCGAATAGGATATGAAGCAATGAAATCGTCTGTGTAGTCGTAGAGCCAAGTTAAATCAGAAGACTGTAGATAAGAGAGTGAAATCACCATATGCTATTGACGGTTTATGTTCCACTAGGAACCAAAGGGAACAAATAATAATAATAATAATCAAGCTTAGCTGACTGACATACCAGTTTCATAACATCCAAACCACGGTCCATTACATAAATGATGACGCCATGGATTCACCTTCTGTGGATCACGTAATGATATACTATCAGGATGATTTGGATCAGTGAAAACTTTTTTAGGCGAATTTGCTAATCGATTAGAATATTGTTGTTGACATTGATGATGATGATGATGATGTTGATGGTGCTGTTGTTGTTGTTGTTGTTGTTGTGGCTGATGATGATGATGATGATGGTGGTGGTGATGGTGGTGATGATGATGATGATAGCCTTGTAGATTTTGTTGACCTCCAACATATGGTATTAAACCAATACTTTTATCAATTGGACGACGTGGAGTATTTTGAACACCAAGATGCTGATAGACAGAAGAGAAATAAGCCAACATCTTTTAAAGTTATACGAAAACCTTTTTTCAATCAATCGTAATACATCGATGTTTCATGAAAACAAAAAAAAAACCCATGGAACTTATGTGCAATACAATATATCAGATTACATGGAGTAGGTCAAAAATAGGATCGAAAAGACAGCAAAACAGGTCACCTTTCATTAACCTGATATCAGTGTGGACATCTTCTGCACTCAGTATAAAGCGTGAACAACATACGGATTTTAAGCATCAACGCCAGTCAAGTCAGTGCTGGCTATATGGTTCAGAAACTTGGCGGATTACGAAAAGCACTTCCTACAACCTATAAACATTTATCAACAGCTACCTACGCTGGCTCAATACTGAAGATGGAGATCAGATGGCCAGAAACAATAAACAACAAGGAACTGTGGGTGGTGACGAACCAACCAACAACCTATCACCCAATAAATAGGCACTGGAAGAAAGTGGAGATGGATTGGATTGGGCATACACTGAGAAGGCCGACTGAGGACATCAAGTGTCAGGCCAGTCCTTCAAGTGGAATCCGAAAGGGAAACGATGAGTTGGGCGTCCAAGGATGACATGAAGGAGATCATGTGAGGAATAGATGAAAACTTATGGGCAGTCGTGGTGCCAGGTCAAAAAGACTTCAGAGAACAGAGTGGAATGGAGGCGTGTTACTGAAGCCCTAGGTTCCACTAGGAACAGCCTTTCTTAACCATGAAGAAAATGAGCAACCAATCAACGTGTCTGGATATATTCAAGAAAGCCTACTCTATGAGTACCAGTAAAAATCTAGCGCAATCTGCAACTAATGAACACCTTCAGTGGGAATTCGATAATGTTTGAGATGCGTTTTCTAACCAACTAAATGCAAATTGTTGCTCTGAGATTGATCTTCAACAGCACCCTGGTCAATAATACAGAGTGAAGTGCTTAGAAGTGTTGAACACTTCACTCACCTTGGAAGTCAGATCAGCGCCCTGGTACGTTGGTCAATAGTCGATGAAATCTCTGCATGAATACAAACGACTAGACTGCATCTGTTAACATACACTATCTGTGGCACTGTCATGATATCCGATTGTCTATTTATGGTCGAGTGTATGTCTGTGAAATATGGCCATTGAAGATGGAAGAAATGACAAGGCTTCAGGTGTTTTGACTAACATTGCCTTCGTAGTACAGACCGTATTCCGTGGTGTCATCACGTGAGTAACGCAGAATTTTAGAGAGGGAGAACAGGTAAGTCAGTTGATCAGGTTGTCAACCTTCATCGACCGAGATAGCTGGCTGGCTGGGACATGCATTACGTATGCCTAACCGCCGTTTGCCTCGTCGAACAATCATGGTCAAAGTAGGTTCAGGCTGGGAAAAGGCTGGAGGCGGCCAGACTGGACCATGGCATCATTGTACGAAGGCGTTGACTGTTCGTCTAAATAATGTAGGGCGATACTGACTAACTGTGTAGAGTCGATGGGAAAAAAGAAACTAACAGTAGTTGGAGACTCTAGGTGATGATGTATACACCACACTATCCTCATGTTAACCCCTTACACTTCATCTCATCATCTCTTCCTCTCTTTCACTACCTTCTACTTCTTTTCACCCATTTTTCTCCCCTTCTATTGCATTGTTTACTTAATGTAGTCATGTGATGAGGTATGGCAACTTGCACTCTTAAACGGCTACGCCTGATCCTATACTGATCATGATGATGACGACTGTCATCGCTGACTAACTGTCTTCATTTCCACCAGGTTGGCCTCATAGACCACAGCTTCTGATTAGAACTTCAAGAATTACCATCTTGAAGTTAGTTAGTTACCAATGAACACTTGACCCCTTTGAATTTCGGCTCTGTGGGGATAACCAAAGAGAATCTTAACCTACTACACTTCAGTCAATATCATACGACGATACACACAATGACTATATATGTATGACACATATCTCAGATGCAACCTCTTCAATGAACTTTTAAATTATTTATATGGTGACCATTAAAATAAACAGTTTATGCTACAAACGGAACTGGTAATCGAATCATCATCATCATTATCAACATAGGACCAGATATTACTACTGCGTAACGGTCCGAGTTGCCACACCTCATATCAGCACATCAAGTTAAAAGGTATTGAGGTGAAGGATGAAGATAAGTGGATGCAGTCAAAAGAAATATAAAGTACGAGAAGAAAGGAAAGAGGAGTGACAAAATAGTGAGGTTCGGTATAGCGTTGTTAAGATGAGGATAATGTGTGTGGGTGTACATCTGCACCACTGACTTCGGTTCTCACCCATATCACCTAGGGTCTCCAACCACTGTTGGTTCCTCTTGTCCTGTGGACCCCAACCACCTAGTCTGCATCGTCCTACATGGCTTAAACCAACAGTCAGAGACTTCATACATTGGTGCCATGTTTTAGTCTGGCCACCTCGGGCCTTTTTCCGGCCTGAATGCACCTCAGCCAACATTGTGTGACGAGGCAATCGGTGACTAGGCATACGTAGTACGTGTCCCAACCATCTCAGTCGATGAAGGTTCACAACCCCGACCGATAGCTGCTACCTTGACGTGGTGGTCGGGCTTGCATATCACAATGACCCAACGAGCTATGCTGGTGGAACGCTTGTTCCCTCGAGGTCCTACCATACCAGAAAGGTCTGTTGGGTAGTGGTTGGACGAAAAGCAGTTACCGTTATAGTGTAAATTGCTACACTATGATGGGGGTCTGAGGGCGAAGTCGTACTGCTGCTAGCTGGATGGGGTGTGACAGCAGTAAGGTTTTTCCCTTGGATGACCAGCAGTGCCAAGCTGATGCTGCCTTCTCAGTGGAAGGGGGGGTTAGAAAAGGTCGGCCCCAAAAATAACACATTCCACCATGCCCCACAGTCTGCCGGGCCGGCGGTGTTGGTTCACTTGTCGCTTCCTTTCGATCATCCGGCCCCAAAAATACAAAAGTTCAAAATAATCATACTCAAAAGGCTGGGTGTGACAGGCCTCAAGCAGATGTCCGATGGGCTCTGCGGTCACACAAATCTCTTTCAGGTACCTTAAGAAGAAATAGCCTTCCACGGTGTGGGCAGCTGGGAAGTGTCAACCGCCCTCACAACTCTGTCAGCACCCAAGTTTCTTCTGACTGCTATCCTCCTCCTCCATCATTACTTTCTGATCTTCCTTCACGTCTCTTAATTAATGATGCTGCATCATCTTCAATTTCTCCTACCTCTGCAGCCTTCAACAACGACCTGAGTCCACAGAACAGCATCACTGGTCTCCTTAAACCACGCTCCAAATTGCATATTGGAGCCTTTAATGTCCGCACCCTCCGTCAAATTGGTCAACAGGCTTCGTTAGCAAAGACTCTAGCAACTCGGGGCATGGATGTGTGCTGTGTTTGTGAGACACGCATACAGGACCCAAGTCTAGTTATTCACTTGACCTCTCCTGGTAATCGAATAACCAATACACAATCAACTATCAAATATTATACTTACCTGATGATGGTGATGATGATGATTAGTAGTAGTAGTATATACTTGTTTTTGTGAATAATCTACATTACGTGTACCAGGTGGTTTGACTTGTACACCTTGACCACCACCTGCACCATTATCAACAGTATTTGTAACATTCACATTACCAGCAGTTGTAGGTATAACACCAGTAGTAGTAGTATTCCCTTGACCAGTTTGTAAAACAGGACCAATAGTAACATTAGTACAAGTAGTCCCTCCTATATTATCTTCTAATTTATTCTCGAAATAATTTAAATCTTTACGATTCTCATGTAATACCCATTGTAATAATGGATCATGAATAAATGCTTCCAAGACAGCTAGAAGACTTTCACGATTATTTCGCATAAGTGACATAACCATTTCACAAGTATGACGAAATACACCATCTATACCTGTTACCTATGAAATGAAAAAAATCATTTAATCAAGAAAACAATTATTCAATTAACTATAACAAAGATGAATTAATGAATCATTACACTTCAATGTCTTTCCTATACATTGATAGATTAGAAGGCGAATACCACGTACACTCCAAGTGTATCATAGAAACTTATTGAAAGAAGAGTCTAAATCAGTTGAGAGTTCAAACGGTGAACATACGAACAAGTCTGAAAGACACAATACTTCTCAACAACAGTATCATTTTTGAAGTGTAGACAGGAAGGAGTAAGAAAAAGCTACCACCTACTATCACCCATGATATTCCTCATCCTCATCGACTGCATCATGCTACAAACATTTGTGAGGAGAGAGAATAGGCTGAACTGCGGAAAAGATTCTAGAAGATTTGCATTTCGTCAATGATAACTTGTGTCTAATGTCATACAAACTCGAAAATCCACAAGCAAAAACTAAGAAGTTGACAGAAGAGGCAAGGTAGAGAACATGGGGACACTCTTCAGGTGAATGTAGAGAAGACAGAGATGATGATGATACCCAACCAACGCCACCACCACAACCACCAGCACCAACAACAACAGCAACAATCTCCAATCACCATGAAAGGGAGAAACTGAAATGAAGCAGTCTCTTCCACCTATCTAGGCAGCAACAAATATGCACTGGAAGGAAGTGGAGATAGATAGATTGGGCATGCACTGAGAAGACCATTCGAGGACATCATGCACCAGGCCAGATGCTCGAGTGGAACCCAGATGGGCAGCGATGAGTTGGGCATCCCAGCTGAGGGTGACATGAAGGAGGAGGAGATGGTGTTGAGGGCAGTAGTGGAGCTTGGTTCAAAAGATTGCAGAAAAGAGAGTGGAATGGAGACGTGCTATTGAACCCCTAAGTTCCACTAGGTACCCAAGGGACCCATCGTTGAAGACAATTTGTAGAGTGAAACGAAACACCAGACTTATAGTCCGTGGTTAGCGTAAATTTGTGTCCATAGACTAGATTATGGAAACGAAACAGAAGACGAAAATAATGACCAAGGCTACCTTCTCAATTTCACCATATTTCCGCGTTCTTTGATAGACAGTATTCGGGAAGTAGATATAGTGAACACTTAATCACTTCGCCTCTCACATCTACTAACAACAATGTCCACCTTATCAAACTCCTCACCCTTCTCATATTATCTCCATTATCTAAACAGATGATGACACAACTATACGACTGTCTCCTAGACATAATATTAAGGAAATTGGATAGATTAATTCAACTTGAGCTCAGGTTTGAAAAATATATCTACATTGGTCGCCTCCTTTGTCAGTGAGCTATCTCCACGCTAAACAAATAAAACCCTCTTCGTTGAATTATGTGCTCTGAGGAACTGGGTTATTCAGTCGTGGAGACGCTTTCATCGTCTTTCTAGACAGCAACATCATCCACAGCACTAACATCACTATGAAGTCAGCTACCTATCAATATCTCTCTATGACTGATTCAGTAGGTTAACCTTGAGGAAGTGGTTTGTGATTGGTTGTTTCCTTTGATTGTTATGTCACTGACTGACTCTATAGATTTTCCTGTTGCCCGTTTCCCTACTTGACCTCTGACGTTTCTGTAGTTTATCATTTTTCTTATTAGTTGATAGATTGGGTCTATGTCTATGCATCTGTGTGGATTGCTGACTGACGGACTTAGCTCAGTGCCGAGCTCCTAGGAATTCTCTGATGATATTTTTTGTGTTTCCTCTCTCCGTCCAGCACTTCTACATTGTCAAAGTTGGATTCATGTAGTGTTGACTACAGTTGATTCTGTAAATGATATTCAGTCTGTCTTCTTTGGTTGTTGGATCTTTTGGTCAGGATAATAGCGCTTAAAGGGAATTCGTTGGTTTATAAGCCACACTATTTTGGACAAAATGGTCACTCTCTTCACATTCCTTCACATGAGGATACCAACTGGCTATTAAACATCGTGATATTTCATCACTCATCACTCAAACCATGTAGACGAAGAAGGGAAACACGAAGAAAATATCATCAAGCAATTCCTAGAAGCAATCAACAGATGCATAGACATAGACCCAATGTATCAACCAATAAGAAAAATGACACACCCCAGAAAGATGAACAGAGATCAAACAGAAGAACAGTCAACAGTTAAATCGATACAATCAGTTAATGACACAACAACCCAAAGAAACAACCAATCACAAACGATTTCATCAGGACATGGCATTGAATCATTCACAGAGAGATATTGACAGGTAGATCACTTCATACTGAATTTAGTGCTGTGGATGATGTTGCTGTCTAGAAAGACGATGAAAGCATCTCCACGACTGAATAACCCAGCTCCTCGGAGAACATAATACAGACAAGATCATCTATTTAAGAGACAAATATTCTACATTATTTCAGGAAGAAATCGTTTCCCAGTGATCCCAGATCACACTTTGACCCAGTCATCTATATACTATAGATCAAATCGTAAAAATATTAGAAAGAGGAAGAAGATAGACATATTTCCTACCTCCATAGCAGCAATAATCATACGTGTTAATCGAAATGGAACTTTTTCAGGGAATTTCTCTCTCATTGTAGCTACTTCAAAACAATCACCAAAATCAATATGTACCACTTTACCAGTCTCTCGAGATAACATAATATTTGATGGATGCCTATAAGGAATAAATAGAAGAGAGGAAAAAAAACAAAGTAAACAGTAGACATTTAAACTGAGAAAAAAGTTTTTCTGATGCTGATAATGATTACGTAGGGATAGTCGGTAGACTAACAATAGTATATCAATGATATATTAACCTGCAAGCCTACATTTCACTCTGTTCTATACAGTCTTTTGAACCTAGCTCCATGACTGCCCACAAACTCTCATTTCTTCCTCAACACCATCTCCTCCTCCTTCATGTCACCCTCAGCTGGGATGCCCAACTCATCGCTGCCCATCTGGGTTCCACTCGAGCATCTGGTCTGGCGCATGATGTCCTCGAATGGTCTTCTCAGTGCATGCCCAATCTATCTATCTATCTCCACTTCCTTCCACTGATATTTGTTGCTGCCTAGATAGGTGGAAGAGACTGCTTCATTTCAGTTTCTCCCCTTCATGGTGATTGGAGATTGTTGTTGTTGGTGGTGGTGGTGGCTGTGGTGGCGGCGTTGCTTGGGTATCATCATCATCTCTGTCTTCTCTACGTTCACCTGAAGAGTGTCCCCATGTTCTCTACCTCACCTCTTCTGTCAACTTCTTAGTTTTTGCTTGTAGATCTTCGAGTTTGTGTGATATTAGACACAAGTTATCATTGGCGAAATGCAAATCTTCTAGAATCTTTTCCGCAATCCAGCCTATTCTCTCTCCTCAAAGATGTTTGTTGCATGATGCAGTCGATGAGGATGAGGAATATCATGGGTGATAGTAGGTGGTAGCCTTTTCTTACTCCTTCCTGTCTTCCCTTCAAAAGCATCACTGAGCTTCCCCATTGTGAATCACTTGGCATGTGGCGTCTTCATATAGTTGTTGAATGAGGTTCATAAAGATTTGTGGCATTCCATAGTATTGAAGCGGCTATCAAAATACTTCTCGGTCAACGCTGTCCAAGACGTTTTCAAAGTCGATGAAGTTGAGGTAGAGAGTTGACTAGCAGTCTATACTCTGTTCTATGATGATGCACAGCGTAGCGTTGTAATTTGGTTCGCACACATGATTTATACTTCTTGAATCCAGGCTGTTCTGGTCATATTTTTGAATGAAACCATCACAGTTAGTCAAACTGATAATTCGAAACCTGAGTACACGAGCAACACTTTAACATTAGACCTTCGGATCGATATTCAGTGGTCTATATCGCCTACTTCTAGCAGCTGATAATATAATGCGACATCTATCTAACCTCTACGTTAAATACAAGTCTACATGTCCAACATGGTTGGCTCCTACACTATCACCTCTCGAAGAACATATATGTAATGCATTATTATGTATCGAGTTATGACACTGCATGTACTAGCCAACGTTTACAAAAAGAAATGACATGGAAGCGTATAAACTACTTAAATCCGTTACAAGTAGCACAACGTAGTTTTATAGTAAATTTGTTCATGTTGTATCATAGTGGTAGATGTTGTAGAGTTTTGACTGCTATCCAAATTCGATTGACCATTTTCGAATGATGTAGAACTCTGATATTATCACTAAGCTATTCTGACGATGATTAACTTCATCTAGGAATCTGTATGAGTTAGACATATAAGGAAAGAGTACTGTTCATTGGATCAAGTCCATTGAAATAATAAGGTTGTGAACGTTCATCGATTGAGATGGATTGATTATTTACTAAGTATACCTATCCACTATCATCTGCCTTATTGTGACATGTTAGGAGAAACTTGACTACATTGGAAGAGAATTTGAGCTAGTCAAATCAAAATGAGACACCTTTTCATGTAGTCACCATGTGGGGAAGATAAAATCTAAAAGGCTACGATCCTCGAATTCATAGGTATCAGTAACTGAGTAGTCTTGTGAACAACTCCATAGATTTCATGCGAAATTATCGTATAATCAAAATTGGTCAAATGTTCTATGATAGGGTGTTTTTTCTTTCGCCTTTATGAAATCAGGCTCATAATATGTTCAGCAATATGATCACAAAGCCAATGCTTCTATGCTTCCTTTTTGAATGATGTTATCTGATCTTATTAGATCTCTGCAAAGAATGATTTGAATCGCTGAATGTCATCGGTTTCATAAACTTCAAGTCCTTACAATTTCAAGGTTTAAATCCTAAGAAGTGGGGATTATGAATAACAAAACGGTTATATCTATTACTTGTCGAGTCAGTGAGGAAACTTCAAAATATCAGTTTTAATGGCTTTCATAGTTTGTTTAGCTATTAAGCGAATCTAGAATTGGTAACGGGTGAAAAATCTGAACTGCGGAGGGGTTCGAACTAGCGACCACTGCGCTTACCGACCCGATGCTCAGTTGATCGATTCGACTAATAAACAAGTATCTAACCTTTTGATTTGTACATGTGGCCTACACCTCTACCCTATATGCCCATCCACTATCAGTCATCTCGACGACCAATGCAAAGAGAAATTGAAAGAGAGTTCAAGGTGATAAAGTAACATAAGCAACGTAGAACCTAGCATAGAAGTGAGTTCGCAAACATTTCCACAAACATCAAAGTGGGACAAAGAGCACAGGTGGATAGAAAAATACACTAATATCAACGTATACAAGGTTGAATGAGAGAGAGAAAGTTTGAAGATAAAGGTTACTACGAATATTCAGCCTTTGAAAGATGTCACTGTCACCGATTCCAAGCCATGTCACCAAGTTTCATCAACCACTGACTGCTATCGTCTCCGGTACCCCACTCAGGCAATCTACATCTACTTATATGGCTCAAGTCAATAATCAGGAAATTCATCGTTTGGTGATACATCTACCCTGCTCTGGTGACCCACAACCCTAGTATGGCACTTCAAGGTAGTTACTGGTTGTTCGGTATGCACAGTAAATGTTCAAGCCATCTCACTCAATGAAAGTTCATGCCCTCATTGACCAACTTGTATGTTTTGTCAAGTAAATCCAACGCTGGACGTCAATACGATGATTCCGGAGAGATAAGTCAAAGATATGACACCAGTCTATGAAATTTGTAACTCTTGGTAGGAGCCATAGACGGAGGTGTAAACGTTTGACAGTGTTGTATTCTGTGATGTGGATGTTTCATCCAGAAATAAACTAAATTACAATACAAGAGATACTTCACTTAAGACTTCATAATCCTCTTCCTGAGCACGATAGGAATCAATGGTGGAGTAGTGGACACAATGCACCCCCCCCTCCCTTTTGACTACTTCAACATCAGTCAGTTTCTACCCACCTATTCTTTATATACTACTGTGAAGTATGTGGCAATTTGACCTTATCTACTTTCATTCAAAACTCATCAGCTGGAAATAACCTTTCCCCCCCCCTCTACCCATCCATCTGCAGAGTTATAACTGAGAAGAAACTAACAATTTTGAAAACAAGAAAACACAGAAACTGTTAACTTACCTATCTCCTAAACCTAAAATGTAACCAACCATAGACATAGTAGCCATTGATCGAGTAAAATTGGTTCTACGTTCAAACCATGCCTTGGAAACAAACAAACAAACAGGAAAGAGATTATTCACGGTTATACACACATTTTGCACAATAACAAATCTATATTCACAACACCTGGACTTCGTTAGGTAACACCCCTCACCCCTACCCTATGATTGTTAAGTTGAATCATTGAAACAATCTAATCCGTTATTCATGGTATTCTGCAACTATCACTAACGACACGTTATAATATAAGTAAACTTTGGTAGATTCACTTAGATGTGTATCAGGTACAGTGAAATAAAACAGTAGTATTCACTGGACACAATTTGATCGTCCAAAGTCATCAAATCAAGATAAGCTTCACAATATTTAGACGTTATTGAGACAATTCCAATCTTTCCTCATCTCCTTTTTGGTATAAAAGGTTAGATTTTGCTTATATCCGGAACACAGGATGAGACATTATTCCTGTTGGTGAATACATTCAGTATTGATTCAATAAACAATGATGATTCAGTTGTTTATCTCTCCTTCCATTCCGCTAGGGTTAGTTTTAAGGTTGTATGTAATGGTATGTATAGCTATCGCTGAACTTTCTTCTAGAATATTAATCATACTACGATCTAACCGTCTTCATTTCGCTGCGATAGCCTAATTGACCTTGCAATTGCTGTAGAGGATTTCCTACACTTAATAATTCTGCATCAGCAGGAGCTAACAAAGTCTATTTCTAAGTCAGTTAATTGGTTGAATTGCCACTCCTATTCTCAGCCGAATTGACGATAGGATCTGCGTTGTTACAAACCATCAGCATAATTCAACTGAAAAGAGAGAGAACTCGGTTAGGTAAATGAATATGACTTTGAGCAAACTCTCAGAGAGATGTAGAAGGGTGTGAACATGAGTCAGTAGAGTATGGTACGATGAACCTATGTTTCGGCTTTACTGACATTCATCAGCCAAAGAATATCTGCAACCAATCACGATGATTGAAATTTGTGTCACAGTGAATTCCAACGTCACAGACTTCCTTATTCATCAATTCACTCGTTAATTATTTTATAATCTTTGAATTTCTTGTCGTTTTCATAATGTTACGCGGAGATTTTTCTAAGAAATATTCGACCCAGTCTTAGAGGAATTCAGCCGTCGCCTAAATAGGTTGATGTATTTATGCGTTAAATTTTAAACTACTTACTATTATTAAGTAGTATAATGTGCTTCCTTTAAATCATTTCATCAACACATCTGGACGTATCACACTATAATGGTACTTAGTTCATTTTTACGTCTGTATTTTACTCCCTACAACTGTTTCCATGACTATCAAGAGTTCCCATTGCCACCTACTGTCATTTGTCGTTCAGTAACCGTCTTCATATTCGAGTTAGTTGCGACTACCTCCGCACGCACCCACAGGCAAGTAACTAGATTGCCTATTTTTTTAGACATCAAATTTATGCTACTTATACAGTTATTTAAGTAGTAAAAACACACTAATTAACAAATGACTAACTTACTTCAGAACTATGACTTTTTAACCATAATATATTGGCTAAATCTCTTCCTGATGATTCACGTAGGCCAGCTTCAAAGATTTCAGTTTTTTGAATAACATTTAAACGATCAAAATCTGGAGCTAATCGAAGCATTTCACGATTTTCCTTATTTAAGACAATATCTGCCTTCTCGCGATAATCACGTATTAAATTATGAAATGTATCACTATTTGGCACCCAACCAATTAATCCAGTATATGTTGATAATGGGATAACAGACATTCTCTGTATTCTATATAGTTGAGAAGAAAATAATCATAGAGATGAAAGATGAAAAGAGACTGGTGATAGTGTCAAGTACACTCACTTCGCTATATAATACACATCATATATAAGAACAGAATTGAAGAAACACTTCCTGAGATTGATTAGGGGCACAGTCGTGGGTTTCTAGTGGAAAATATGCCTTCAGAAACACGTCATCATTTCACTCTGTAATCTCAAGTCTTTTGCTTTAACATGACTCCATAACTGATCACAACATCTTCTCCATATCACTTTCCGTTGCCCAACTTGTGGTTTCCCTTTTCGCTACCACTCTATGACTTAGTGCGTGATGTACCTAAAACATCTTCTCAGTGTATGCCCAAACCATCTCCACTTTCTTCTACTGCATTTTTGTTCAGTGATAGGTTTTGCATCGTTGGTTCATCACTAGCCAGAGTTCCTTGTTTGCTTATTCTACCTGGCCATCTATATGGTCTTCAGTAGCGAGTGAGCGTAGTTGGCAGCTGTTGATGATGTATGTCTGTAGTATGTTGGAAATGTTTTTCGTAATGCACGAACTCTCTGAGCCATCACATAGAAGCAGTGATTTCACTGACATTAGTCATGCCATGTCTTGCTGTCTTTCCCATCCTTATATGTGCCACCACCTGTAGTTGAAATGATGCTCACTAGATAGGTGAA